ATTTTGGTGAACCAGGCTTGGATTACTTCAGTAGGTGGGCCCCTATCAGGATTTCGTAGAGCCATGAGAATCTGCAAGGTGGTTTGTTGGAGGCCTTTTGCCTACAGATGTGCTGAAAAAGACACTTGAACAAGAGGATTAATGCGATAGCTATGCAACCCAAGAGGACCCAAGTGACCAACCAGGATGGGTCAAAAAGTTTCTTTAGATTTTCCCAGATCTGTTCAAGGAATGTGGTATTTAATTCTATAACTTGGGCTCTTGTGTAATTAAGAGCAATAATTTGTACTTGCAATTGGATGGTGTAATTAAGAAATTTATTGGACCATGAGCCGGTAATGGAGTCCCTTAACTTTATTCTGGCGTTTGTGATATTGGAGACCGGGTAAGGGGTCAAACAGATATCCTTATACCTTGGGTCACAGGCAAGTAAAGTCATTTCCCTTACTGTATCTATCTCTTCTGCCAGCAAGTCAATTTGTTGCTGTAGAATATGGATGGCACTATAAAGGTGTTGGTTTCTTAGATCCTGAGTGTGGAGGGCAGCGGCCGATTTGCTTACCACCTCATTGAGTGCAGCAGTGGTAGTCACAGACTGGATCAGGGATACTGCTGCTGCAGTATCCCCTCCTATGACCAACAGAATAGTGGCGATGATGGCAGCAGTAATTCCAAAGTCATGTTTGTTTCTAGATAAGGCAACCTTCGTTCTTTCCATGAATTGTACGGAGTGCAAATGGGAATCCGAGGTCACTGGGAACTATATGGTGGCTGGTTCCCACATGAGGATGGCCCATCTGTGTGGGAAAGCCCAACATGCCGCAAGGAGACAAGTCCCATCTGCGCAATTTAAGGTGGTATTAGTTGAATTAGTGAGGAAGAAGAAAGGGGGCCGTACACAGACAGCAGTAGCACTGAAGGATGTATGATTGGCTTGTGTAAGATTTGTGTCATCACGCCAACCAGTGGCATTGGTGCCAGAGTATGTCCCATTAGCCAAGATGGCTCCATATAGGAAAGCAAGTGGATGGACGTCCAAGCAGGCGGATGGGCCACAAAGGTTCCAGGAGCTGAAAATAGGGTTGTATTGATTTAATTGAGAAGGGTTCCTAGCTGGGAGATATAAATAAGATGCATTAGTCAGCATTTGTTTCCAAATGGCCAAGGAAGTTACATTTGGTATTCTAAAGAAATGATCTGTTCTAGAAGGTATGATGGGTAGACACTCTTCCCAAATGATGGGAGTATTTAAGTCAGTGGTCCGATTGTTTGGGCGGCATCTGGGGAGGTTGGGCTTTTTAAAATTTGGGCAACTGTTTGTAACACAGTGTGTTGTTATCAACTCTATCAGCGGCATGTAGCCAGTTAATAAGAAGTATTGTCCCTTGGAATAGTTTCCATTGAAATCCACCGTAGTTGTGTTGACTAATCTGACACAAGGGCCAGGGGCGGGATCAGTGGTAAAACAGAGGACGTTGTGTAGATTCCATCTGCCCCCAGTCAGGGTAGCAATGTCCACTGCATCCATATATGGGAGCCCTGGGGAGGAATTGGTAGTAAAGAGAGTTGGGAAAGCAGGGGAATCCACACTGACGGGCAACAAGATTGGAGGGAGAGGCACCAGTGCCCATAGGTCCATCATCGATGTGGCTCTTACCAATAGCAGATAAATAATACAGAAGAGGCATCTGTCAGGTTTTCCTGATCCATGGCTGGTCTCATGTCTCTGGATGGGACCCATATTGGTTTGGGCTGGCTCTGGGGGAAAACACAAGCATAACCTTGCCCCTGCATTGAGGAGGGCGGGTGGCTGCCAAACATGAGTTATGGGATCCCTCCAGCATAGCAATGGTAGGGGGTAGGGACTGGCAAAGTTGCCCAATGTTCATAGGCAGGGCTAAGTCCCTTTTCATCAAAGGAGAGGAAGCTTATCTGGAAAAGGGTTTCAATTAGTGACAGGGGGGGATCCCCTATTGACTCAGGGGAACCTTTGGGTAATTTATTTTTTAGCGACTGGTTGGGCCTTTAGACAGGTTCAACTATTATGCGGGGAGATATGGGCTGGAGGCAATTTGAGATTTTATAGCCAAGGAAGGTATATGGGGGAAGAACCTGTACTTTGTCCTTTGCAATAGAAAGGTGAGCAGACTTTAGACGAGATAATATTTCATCGAAGGCTTGTCGGAGGATGGAAGGGGATTTGTGAGAGATAAGGATATCATCCATATAGTGAACTAGGAGAATTGAGGATTGCAGCCCTTTAAGTATTGAGAAGATATATTGTTGGCCTATAGTAGGGCTATTTTTCATACCCTGAGGGAGTACTTTACATTGAAATCTCTGGGCTGACGTATGGAAGTTGGGCATCCATACCATAAAGGCAAAGCGTTCCTTATCTTGGGGGGGGCAGTGGAATGTGGAAAAAGCAATCTTTGATATCCAGGACCATTATGTAATGATCAAGGGGAATGGCCGCAGGGTGGAGAAGCCCTGCTTGAAGCGTGCCCATTTTTTGCATTGTGGCATTAATGGCCCTAAGATCCTGCAAGAGCCTGTATTTACCAGATTTTTTCTTAATTACAAATATTGGCATATTGAATCAACTACAGGAAGGTTCAATATGGCCCAGTTTAAGTTGTTCATCAACCAATGACTTAAGGATACAGCATTTGGGTTCTACAATAGGCCACTATTCGACCCATATCTTGGCATCTGATAGCCATGAGATGGGAATCGGCTTTAAATCAGTTGGGGGAACAGTGGCCCTTAGGATTGGGGGTGATCGGTCACGGGGAGGTCCTACCTGAAAGGCCTGAGGAATAATGTTCAATGATATCATGGAAGAATGCTCTATCATCCGTGGTCAGGATGGCTCCCATGTCATATAGAACATCCCTGCCCCACAGAGTATGTGGGACATCTGCAATGAGTGGGTGAAAGGTGCCCTTGACACCATCAAGTTCCTTCCATTGAACAGGAAATTTAGTCATCCAAGAGGACTGTTGTCCTCCTACCCCAGTAATCATTGGGCCGGGTTTATATTTCCAGTGGGGAAACCTCAATGCCTCATTGTCAGTAATGATGGTGATATCAGCCCCAGTATCAACAAGGCCTTTAACGGGGGTGCCATCCAGATATATGGTCATCATGGGTGTATGGTTGAAAAGAGGCAGTGTCCAGAATACATTGTTATTCTTTTTTGTACCCTTTTGGTTCCCTCTTACTGTCAGGGCTGAGGGTTGCCCCATTGGAAGTTTAAAGGTTCTTTAGAAGAAGAATGGCAGTCACGGGCCCAGTGAAAGCCCTCTGGCATTTGGGGCACTTAGTTTTTGGACGAGTCCTGGGGCAGTCTCGCCTCAAGTGGCCGGGTTTGCCACAGCCCCAGCATACTCTGTCTGGTGGGTCTGGTCAGGAGGGGGAGTTGTGGTCAGAAAGCAAGGCAACAATAGAGGTGGTAAGTGCCTGAATAGGACCCTGGCTAGAATCGAGGTCTCTAGTGGCTGTGATCCATTTATTTAGGGACTCTGAGCAAACTGGGGCAACTGCATTGTGGGTAACTGAATTTAGCCCTGCCCAGACTAATTGTTTAAGAAGGAGCTCCTGGTTAGGGCCAAAAGGAATGTGGTGCTGCATGGTTTGTGTTGCTCTAGAGAGGAAGTCAGGGAAGGACTCCGTTGAGCCCTGAATAAGGTTATGAAAGTAAGAGGACAGGTCTTTGGGCATGCATGATTTGAGTGCTTGGAATACCAGATCATGGACTTGAGAATATTATTGGGCTTTATCAATTTGGGCTTGTGCGACCAGGGTGGTGTACTGTCCATATCCCATCAACATATCTAGTGTGACCGGGGTACAGTTGGCAGCATTATGTCTAGATTGTTCCTCAGCCAAATTTTGGTAGGCGGCTCGCCCTGTAAGGAAGGTAGGAGGATCTAAGACTGCCTTTAGAAGATGGTACCAATCATAATGGGTCTGGAGGGCCTGACTCCACTGGTTTAGGATCTGTTCAAAATATGGGGAATCAGGGCTGCTGTCATTGCAGGCCTTATGGATTAAGGACAGGTCTGCAAAGGGGGTGGGAATCCAAGGCCTCTGTGCACCATCCAGACCCAAGTTGACAGCAAAGGCATACCTATTTATGGGGTCAGGGCCAGGAGGGGTGGCTGTGCAGCCCCAGTGAGGGGGCGGGCTGCATATCGGCATGGGTGGTGGTGAGGGGTGTCTGATTTCACTCCAAGGATATATGGGGGGAGGTGTCTCCGCCCGTGGAGTGGAAGGGGTGGTTTGAGGATTCTGCCTGGGGGGTTTTAATGGAACCTGAGACTTAGTAGGGTGTGAATCTGGGTCTGAGTTGTCCAGTTCTTCCGGGACTGTTGGGAGGGACTGGATGGAAAGACTAATCATCTTTTGGTCTTGGCAGTGTTCATTAAAGGATTTAAGAATGTCCTTGGTAGATCTGGCTTTGATGCTGCTAAGGATACCGAGCAATATGGGTATGAAGGGGGCTGGGGGAACCTTGCCCTCTTGCACCTCCCATTTCCTTGAAAGTAAAAGAACTCTCATCCACATATCAGGATCCCACATGTTTTCAGGGGAGATCCATGGGGCGAGGACCAAAGCCTCAGACCAAAAGTCCTCCAGGTCTTTACGTTTAACCCTAATCCCATGGGATGTAAGCAGAGATTTGAGGGCGGAAATTTGGGGCTCCTTGCAGTGGGACATGAAGTTTTCATGATGGGGCTGTAGACGGACTAGACGAGAGAAGCTACAGAAGGGAAACCATGCTGAGAAAGGAAACTTTCCAACCCACTGATAGGTGGGAGGGGATTTCTCAGTCCCAAGTCACAGAGAACCTGCCCACAATTTTAAGAGACTAGCCACCACCCTAAGGGCTCTTAACTGGTGGTTGTGTCATAGGATTGATGAGCGAACTGAAAGTGACAGTACAAGAGACAGGGAGGAAAGAGCGGTGTTTTGGAATCAGGTGAGAGTGCTTTGTGGGGGACTTCCGTGGTTCATTAGGCCATGGCCGTATGCCCACATGGTGTCTCCGGTCATGGGACACCCTGTCAGGAGGGTGTCCATGGTTCCGTCTCCTGGATGGTCAATCCTTATGTGGAGACACGGGGTGAACCAAGTCATTGGAATATGTGCCCTATGGACAGAAAAACATGGGAAAAAGAGGAGACGGCCCTCAGTCACTCACCAGACCGAAGGCAAAGGACAGATAGCAGAAAGAGGCCTACTCACCGAAGAACACAGCCGGAGAGTTGAATGGTGAGGATGGTGGGATCCGTTGGCGAGGCAATCTGGGCAGCAACAAGGGAAAACAAAGAGAAAGAAAAACACCGCAATGAAAAAGGAAACTAGGATAAAAAGGCCCAGGACTAGGTAGGGTCCATGTAGCCACGTCGGGTGCCAGTTGTTGCTGTTAGAGCTGTCGCCTCTCCCACTGCAGGGGCAGGGGACAAGTAGGGGTGGAGTCAATGACACAGACACCAGGAGGCTCACTGTCTTGTAAGCAGAGCTCTCGTTTATTGCATACAAGGGCAGTCCCTTTATACCCCTCCTTGCCTCCCCATTGGCCCCTGAGTCCGAGGTGTTCTTTTCCATTGGCATGAGTCACATGTCAGCAGTGTCCAGGGCTCTTGGCAGGAATCAGGTTGGGCCATAAGCCCCAAAACTG